GCGTCGCGAAACTCGATAAGTCCCTGGGCTGGAAGAGCGATGGTCTGGCCTTGCGTGGCTCCCAAGCCGGGCCCCCGGTTGACGGTTTGCCGGATCCTCAGAAAGCGGCCCCTCTGGTTCTCCTTCAGATCCATGTAGTACTTCCGATTCTCCCGGACCAGAAACTCACTCTTCAGCGCCCGCCGCGGCTCATCCTGCGCTATGTCGGGATTGCTCGGCCCTAACTGGGCATAGTGCTCGATGAAGTCCCCCAGATAATCGCGGAACTCGACAGCGACAGACATGGAGAGAGTGAGGCGGCTCTTGTTTCCCCCGGCCCCGACTTCTGCTATCTTCAAGAAGCGGCCTTTCGCGTTCTGCTTTACGTCTAGATAGAAGCGTTTGTTCTGGATGTCAACCCGCTTCGAGGCGAGCTCCTGCGTCTCGTGCTGCAGCCCAGAAGCCGAGCCCGCCCCTCCTGTCACTGGGTGCATGGAACCGACACCCGGGCCAGTGGCTGCGCCTCCCTGCTCACTTCCACTGTCTCTGTCCGCCATGATGCTGCCTGCCTTCTCCCTCTGTCTTACTGCAAGCCTACTGCCAAGCAGCCACGCTACCGTTCTCGCGAGATCTGTGTGAGGAGAGAAGACGAGCGCTGTTCAGACCTGTGCCGATTCCGAATAAATTCATCGTACAGAAGGTCTAACACTGCAGCCGAACGCTCTAATCACATAGTATGTCTGACCTGGAAGATCATGATAAATTCAATTTAAAGAGAAAGTAAAATATTCAATTCATTGCGTCCGTGTGCGCTGCCTTTACCGCGGATTAATATAGGCTATATTTCACTGCCGTCAATGTATTTTAGTCTATATATAGTCCATACAGAAGCCATTTGCTTAAGTTTCGTTGTCCTCTAGGTTTTTATTCGGTTGTAGCTTATAAAACGAATTAATAAACAGTGGTTAAAATGGAACAGGAGATTAAATGTTGCCGAAAACGGAAAAACGGAGTTTTCTATAGCCTATGCGAAGTGACAGAAATTGATATAATTATAACTGATCGCTTACGCATATTTAATGAGCAATTTTGCACGATATAAACTGGCTAACAAACGTTTCGGGGCAGACCGGTTGTGTTTGGATAGGCTTTCATTTAGTTCATCCTTCATTCAATAATGCACTTCGGCCTTTTTTGTCATGGCAAAATTAAAAATAGATTATTGGAAATCATTTTTTTTTCTTCAGATGCATTCATATTGATGCATTGACGCAAAATGCATTAAATGGCTATGATTTAAGCTACTAAATAAAGTCAGTGTTTGATTTCTTCAGCTTTTAAGGTGGTTACATTTTAATTTGGTAAAAGCGTGATTTATGACATATATATTGTATTTTCTGTAGGTTTATGTTACGCACTTATAGGCTACAATACTAGTTATTTTTCTCCAACCTATTATTTAACATTTGCTACTGAATGCATTTTTACCAGATGCAAATAATTCATTATAATCAACTAGATAACATCCCCAGATATTTGTTGTTTTCTAGTTGTTCATCTTTTATTTTAATATCGAAAAAAAATCTCCTTGTAAAAAAATGTGAGAAATAATGTAGGCCAAACAGTTGAATTTTTCTTGAGACAGTTGCAATGGATGCTTTGACCAAAGCGGTTAAGAGGAATACGGATCCTCTGTGTTGTATGACCGTTACATATAAGCAGGAGAATATCTCTCGACCTATTAAAACTAAACGTGGCGATATTACAAGAGCACTAACACAGTTCATGCAATTTGTTTCAATACAGCTGTTCTCAGATATTATAGGCTATACAAAAATATAAGCTTTTACAAAATATTTATTTCGTGCGCATATAGGCAAATGAGTAATGGGTTTCAGACATTTGCTTAAAAAATACTAACTTAAACGAGTAAAATAATATAATTTACTGAAATATCTAAAATCCATAACCATAATCATATCTAAATGCTTTGTTTCTTACTATTTTCTTTGTCAATCCACACAAAACCCATGCATAAGATTAATTAAAAAATGTTTGGCAATGCACTACAAATTTAAAAAATGATTTATTCGTTTATAAACATGTTTTTTTTAAAGCAAACTGTTTTATAAATGTAGAAGTGCCTCACTTTGATTTCGATTTTGATTAGTTATTAGATTATTTCCGTGTTTTCCTGTAGTTGTAGAAATATTTCCCATATTCAAACTCAGGTACTTAACAAAACATCAAACAAAAGTCGACTGGATAATTACACCAGTGTTTTGAATTAGTTTTCTTTAACTTACCTTAACTTAACTGCTCTGTAATTTAGTTGAAATTGTAAGTATTAACCCTGGAAAGTGATGACATTTTTTAAATAAACGTTTATTTTTTCACGCATCCAAGAATTGATTCTCTCTAATAATTTAGTTTAGAAAACATTTGAATAATTTAGCAGCGTGTTTGTTAACAATTAGTACAATTGTGATAGACGTATCTGATTTGAAAAGCAAAACGCATTTTTCAGAGTCGGGACTGTACATTGAAATATTCTGATGCGTCTAATCGTACCTTTTTACTTTCACAAATGAGCTGTGGACGTAAAAATACCACATCGTCATTAATAATCCATTTTCTTGCATATTAATGTTATTTTAATCTTAAAGGTAAAACTGTAATACCATTGCAAGCTATAAAAGTTAAGAAAGAACAAAAAGTTAAAATATAAAATCTCCTAACTCAAAAGTCTACAATGTAATAACGTAGATTAAAATGAGATATTTAGAATTGATCTCCTTTTAAATACGTATATTTTAGATAAATATGGTCACTGAGTGATGCCTTGAAAAAACTGAGTGAATATGAACTTTATATATATATAT